GGTTATTGCTCTGTTTTATGGGTAAATTTAAACTAAGATGGATAGTAAATACATATAACACACGTTGTTGCTTTATCTCTTTCATCTTCCACTCCAGAAACCCATCATTGACTGCATGTCAGAAGATGGTTACAAGCTGGATCGAATCAAGGGTGAGATTGAATTCCATAATGTGACCTTCCACTATCCTTCCAGGCCAGAGGTGAAGGTGAGTCCCAGTCTTTTCCTTGGAACAATAGACATTTTCTTCTTGGATGATTCATTTCCAGAACCACAAATTGCTTGTTTTCTGAAGAGTGACTCAGTTCCCAGGAACAGGGAACGGAGGCATGTTCCTCTGGAAGTGTCTTTAGCTGTTGTGTCATCTTGGGTGACACACCACCTTCCTTTGTGATAACCATCCTGTGCAAATCCCTCTGGTTGAAACAGTCTGGCTGCACATTCAGGCCAAGTGAACTCTAGGACACTGTGTTGGAATGAGTGGCAGGTCCTGTCATTCTAAGCACATATATTCTAAGCACGTGCTAGGTAAATGGCAAGGCAATCAGAGCAATCAGGAAGTAAAGCTTCATCCCCACCTCTGCAGAGACTGCAGAGAGTGGAGTGTGCTGCAGGTAGGGTATGAAATGGTAAAGGAAAGCTGCTGTTTTGTAGGTTTTTACTTCCCATCTGTAAATTCTCCAGGGTCACTGATTAGTCCTTATAGGAAGGTATCCTTGCAATATTATGCTCACATTGTCTTGTACTAAGTGATTGTCCAGGGTACGTGGTGAAGAATATTTACTTTCCTGCCTTTAAGGTACCTTCGAAGGTAATTTATAGGAAAATTTACAGAAATATTAGGATCTACTCCCTCTGAATGAATTGGCTTTGAAATGAAACTTATTCCTCATTTTTAACAGAGTATCTCTAGACACTCTTTCTTAATAATATTTCTGTTATCCCCAAAGGACTAAATCCCATCTTGTTAGCATAACTTAATTCTGACACTGCATACCTATAATGTAGACAGATGTGTATATGTGTGTGTATATATAT